GCCCCTGCAAACCTGTGCCCGGGCACTAGCCACTCTGCACACTAAGACCTCACAGGGCCACAGCAGGCAATGATTTGGCCCCAGTTCTTCGACAAATAAACCAGCAACGGAGAACTGGCTGTGTGGTGGGTGGCAGAGGATTTCATGAATGGAATACAACTCTTCCCACAGGTGCCTGACCTCCGGGGGGGGGGGGGGGGGGGGGGGGCGGTCCAAGCCCCAGATGTTTCTTATCTTCCCAGGGTAGGGAAACAGACATTCCTATACATCAAGGACTTCCCCAAAGATAAAAAATCCCGGACCAAGGCTGACCTGGAAATGGGCTGGAGCTTGGCTTAGCCACAGCCAGGGCCTGGGAAAGGCTGGCCTAACTCTGTGACCCCATGTGACTTGCCTCCACGTGACCTGCCCCAGCGTTGACCTGTACACCCACGTGATCTGCACACCACAAGACTGGAGCGTCTGTCTGACCTGGATATCATACTTTGTACCCAGGTCGGCTCTGAAAAGGTCCTTGAACTGGGCACCAGAGACCTGGCCATGCCCGCAGGTTGGCTCATTCTGCCTGGGGGTCCATGCCACCTTCTCCTATGCTACAAAGGGCCGTGCACAACCAAACCGGAAGTGTTTCTGCACGTGTTGTAGGCTAGGCTGAGGAGAAGAGGCTGGGGGCACGCGGTGAGATGCAGGCGAGATAGCTCAGAAAAGGACAAGCGAGAGGAGACGTGATGTCGTGTGTGCTTCCCACATTATCCTGCTTTTTCCCACGAGAATGTGCCCTCCGAGTGGGCGGGAGTCAGGCTCACCAACACCTGCCACAGCAAACAGGAGACACTCAAAGCACAGTTGCAGAGTTAATCCCTGAATTATCCAATGGAAATATAATGCGAGCTGCATATGAAATCTGCATTTGTAGTAGCCATTTTATAAAAAGAAACAGGTGGAATTAGTTTATATTCATATATTTCCTTTAACCCTAGCTATCTGAAATATTATCATTGTTTAGCATATATTTTTTAAATAATGAATGAGATAGTTTGTATTTCTTTTATTCAGATTGTTCTCACTCTGGTGTATATTTTGCAATACTGCATATGACTAGCCACATTTCAAGTGCTCAGTAGTCTCATGTGGCATCCATATCGGCCAGTGGTTTTTTTAGACTCTGTGGGTTTTTTAGATGGACAGTCTGGGCAAGTTCTTCAGCCCACTGGACAGATCAGAACTTTAGGAGGCTGTGCAGGGACACCCCCATGAAAGTCATGTGGGGAGTAGTCCATCCTTCCAAATGCATTCCCACAACCATTTCTTAAATACCCACTTGTTTTACTACGTGTTTTGCTTGGTATTCACAGAATACAGGTATAGCCCCTGCTCTCCTCAAGCCCTAAAGCCATCCTATCTGCCCAGCTTCAACTTCCTCGCCCAGGACTTTCTATAGAGCTGGAAGGGGGAGTGGCAATAAATGTCCTTTTCTGTGGCCCATACTTATCATACCACCTCATCCTCCCTTTTTAAAAGCCAAAGTCTACATTTAAAAAAATTATTTTAATATATTAAACATTTTTTCTGTGTTACACCTGAGCACGCACCTCAATCTCATTTAGTGCTTCAGTACCTCTGATTCAGGAGTTTTATTCTACTTTTCAAACAGGGAAAGTGAGGCTTAGGAAGTGCTGTGACTTTAAGGTGCGAGAACTTGGAGAAAGAAGAAGTTGCTAAAGCCGTCCCATACGTTTCCTCAGCAAGGACCCAACGGGACCCATGGAGCCGAAACCAGTTTGGCTCAGTGGATAGAGCATCGGCCTGTGGACTGAAAGGTCCCAGGTTCAATTCCAGTCAAGGGCATGTACCTTGGTTGCGGGCACATCCCCAGTAGGGGGTGTGCAAGAGGCAGCTAATCGATGACTCTCTCTCATCAATGTTTTTAACTCTCTATCCTTCTCTCTTCCTCTCTATAACAAATCAATAAAAATATATTTTAAAAAATGGGACCTGTGGAAAATGTCAGGCAATGGAACTGTGACTTCAGACCCTAGAAGCCTGCATTTAAAGTGAATGAAACATCCCGGTGCTATGTAAAGCCCGGAACAAGCCCAGGAGTATGAATCAGGGTCTGCTCCAGGCTCTGACACATTGGCCCTGTGATGTTGAGCAAGGCAATTCACAGTGATAAAAATAATTAGCATTTATTGATCTTCTCCCCAGTACCAGGTTCTGGCCCAGGCAATTGCTCATATACTTCCTGGTCCTCACAAGACAGACCATTCATTTTACAGATTAGGAATCTGGTCCTCAGATAAAGCAAGTTGCCTAAAGTCATACCACCAATAAGCAGGAATAGGAAACATTATTAAATGTACTAATGTTTGTTTTATAATGTAAACTTAACCCTACCCCCTTTTGCATACTATAAGAAAAATCTTGAAGAGTTTAGGACCCTCAATGTATACTATAAACAACTGTATATTCATGTTACAAATCTAAAAGGCTGTAAAGCATGGGCACATAGGAATTGTTTTTAATGTATTTTTAAATATAAAAATAAAGTATTATTCATTTGCAATGTGTGATAGCTTGCCACAACAATTAAAACAACTGGGCTTCCAAAAGAAATAGTTATTCTTGCATTGTTCAGCACATGGAGCTGTGTAGTCATAGAGAGAAAGAAAAGTAAAAGTATTTTTAAAGTGAAAAGAGGTGAAAATGTCAGCTATTATTACAGATATTTTAAAGCAAACTGAAGTTCTATACTAATATGAAATGTACATGAAGACACATGTCCCAGTCTTCAATAGGGGTCTGCAACCTGGGGGAAAATGAGTAAAATATAACAAGAAAGAAATGGAGGGAAAGGGAAATGAAAGATAAAAGAAAAATAGAGAAATTAACCATCTCTAAAAAAAAAAAAAAAAAAAAACAGAGGGAAGGAGGGAAAGAAAGAAGAAGGGAGAGAAGAAAGGGAACAGAAGAGAAGAGAAAAGGAGAAGGAAAAAAACTATGAAAAATAGAAGCACAAACTGTTGGGGTCAGGCGGTACTTTAAAGCAAAAGAAACTGGCTATGACCCGCTTAGCGCTGAAGCTGGTGCAGTTTTTGCGACTGTTTAGAGAAAATCTAGCGCTCTCCCCACCATTAATCTTTCTAAAGAAAGACTTTGTTCTGCACCTGTATAAACAATCCAGATTTTTAAAACCTATATGCCTGCTCCTAATGTGTGAGGCTATGTATTTATACTGATAGCCTCCAGTCATCAATAGGCGATGCAAAAAGCTGGCCTGAGGTCTGTCCTTTACATCTTGTTGCTCCCCCTTCTCCCTTTTTGCTTCCCTCCTTCATGCACACCAGAGTCAAGTTCAAGTTCAAGCCTTCTAGGAAAGCTTGCTATGCTCTGTCAAATACTCCCTGCGTTTTCCCCCTGGCCCAGAGAAAACTGAAAGACAGAGTTCTTTTTACTCAACTGATGCCAGAAGGAACCTCTCCCTCCCCCTAACAAAATTATTAAATAAATATACAGGGAGAAAACCTCTGTAAAGCTGGGGTGGGTGGGGGTGGAGTGGGGGTGGAGCAGGACGGGCTGTGTGAACCATCCCCCAGGAGATAGACTCAGCCTGGGAGACTAAGGTGGACCGATGCCTGAGTGATGAAGTCAGCCAGGCAGCCACCTGCTGTGGCACTTCAGGCTGTGAGCCTGGGGGCATTTGTTCTGCAGGAGGAGCCGCCTAGTGAGGCTGGGCCCCTCTGTCCTGGGCTGACTGCATATCCTTCCTTCTCCTTGGATTTCGCTCAGCTTGGGAGCCCGCGTCCTTAGGGGAAAGACAAGCAACCTCCTAAGACGGGTGTGCAGGCTCAGGGAGTAAGCCCACCTCAAGCTGATAAAATTTTAATTATTTTGTTGTTTGGGATTTTATTCTTAATTACTTAGCAGGCAGTCACAGGGCGCTGGCACACAGCAGGGTCTCAGTAGCGCTCCATTGGTGATCACCTCCAAAATGAAGTCCACACCCCCAGACCACGCACTGCAAATTTCCTGCCGGTTAGAAAACCACTAGACAGCAGGCAGTTCGAAGTTTTGTTTTGTTTCCTTTGGGGATGAGGGGCAGGGTGTTTAATTTTTGGTTGGTGTGGGTCAGGATAATTCTGGGGGCTGTTTGGACTTTAAAAAAAAAAAAGATTTTATATATATATATTTTTATTTTTTTATTTTTTTTACTTTTAATGGTTGTGCTGACTTAGCATTCAGCATCCAGAAGCACACTCTCCCATACACAACCTAAATAGTAATCGCTTCCTAGACTACAATGAATCTATGCATTGCATTATTAGCAACAAAATCACCCACGAAACTCTCAAGACTAGAAAGGTGGGGAGACCACTGGAAAGTGGAGGAGCCAGGGATTCCAACCATGGATTTTGAGGCCATTTCTACTTACCAGCCTGGTGATTTGAGGTCCTTTACTTAATATCTGCCCCTGCAGTTTAAATTCACGTTCTGCAAAGTGGAGATAATAACATTTAAGTCATAGATGTTGGGAAATGAAACGAGCCAAAGAAGATAACGGTGCTTTGTAGACCATAAAGCGATGTCAAACGATAAGGAGGAGGGAAGTGAGAGGTAGCTTTTGGATTGTGCGGTGATGTTTTGCTTTTATTCTTTTGTTAGGCAAGGCTTGGATAGGCAATCATATGACTGATGAACTTGGAAAACACAGTGTTTTGCTGAGAAGCGGAGCAAAGCAGGGGTCGCGATCCTGGGGTTTCTAAGTGTGTCGCGAAGGTAAATTGGGGTGAGAGTGGGATGCATAGGATCAAGGTCCCCTCCTTCACTCTCCCAACACACACATCTCACAGCGACCCTCTAAGGGTCCCTCAATCTCCGTTTAGCAAAGACTTCTCCTTCCCCGCCCTATCACGCTCAGAAAAGCCGTCCCCACCCCTTCCACGCCCCCGCCCCACCTTCCCCCCTCCCTCTCATTTTGGCCAGGGGTAGTTTGTTCCGGGCTGTACAGATAAATAGTCCGGTCAAAAGGCGCTGCTCGCGGGAGTGCGGGCCAAGGCGGGCCCGGCGCCGACTTCTGGGCCGCGCGCTCTCCTTAGCGACGGGCTCACTCCCGCTGCGGGACCCAGTCCCCGGTCCTCCTCCGAGGCCGGCCCGGACCCCGCCTCCGAAGGAGCACCAGGCGGAGGCCTGGAGACCGGCCCGGGGGCGGGAGGCGGGCGCGGGGGGCGCAGCGATGTCCACCGGCTCGGTGAGCGACCCGGAGGACATGGAGCTGCGGGGGCTGCAGCGAGGGTACCCGGTCCCCGCGTCCAGGAGGCCGCCCCTCCGCGGCGCAGAGCGCGGCTACGCCTCCCCCAGTGACCACTCGTCGGCGGAGGACGAAGACCCCGACGGCGAGGAGGAGCCGAGCGCGCTGGGCGCGGCGGGCGGCGCCGGAGGCTGCAAGAGAAAGCGGCCCCGGGCGGCGGGGGGCGGCGGCAAGAAGCCCCTCCCGCCCAAGGGCTCGGCCGCCGAGTGCAAGCAGTCGCAGCGGAACGCGGCCAACGCCCGCGAGCGCGCCCGGATGCGCGTGCTGAGCAAAGCCTTCTCCAGGCTCAAAACCAGCCTGCCCTGGGTGCCCCCCGACACCAAGCTCTCCAAGCTGGACACGCTGCGCCTGGCTTCCAGCTACATCGCGCACCTGCGGCAGCTGCTGCAGGAGGACCGCTACGAGAACGGCTACGTGCACCCGGTGAACCTGGTAGGGGCGCCGCGCTCGAGGCCAGGGGCGGAGTCAGCCCGCTGGGAAGAACCCCAAAGAAGGGTTCTGGTGCGGGTGGGGAGGACCCCAGGCTAGTGTCTCCCCAAAGCGCGGGAGGAGCCAGCCATCCCCCTAGAGGAGAACCGCCACCCTCTGGGTTCGCATCACTGTGATCCTTGTACGCGGTGCTTGGCCCAGTGACTGCTGTGGGCTGGTACCCTACGTACGGGGAGAATCTGGGTGCTTTGCAGAGGAAATGGCAACTCTTCCCTCCTCGGGCAACTTTCCCCAGCTAAGAGCCTGACAGATCTGATGGAACAGGCCCTACTTTCTGAAGAGAAGGAGGGAAGGCCGAGCTTTTAATGTTAAAAAAGGCTTTGGATTTTTTAATTCTTGAAGAATAGCAGAGGTTTCCCCCAAAGGGATCTGTCTGGAAAGTCCCTTTCTGACCTGCCAACTCTGGCTTGAGAGCGCAGGGCTGATGGTGTGAGTGTGTGTGTGTGTGTGTGTGTGTGTGTATGTGTGTTGGGGGAAGAGGATTTATATGACAAAATTCCTGATCCTTCAAGTTTCACTGAATGATGGAGAGGGCAGAGTCCAGGACCCCCTTCACATCTTACACAATCAAAATCCGGTAAATTTTAAATTCTAGTTTAGAGAGAGGACAGAGAGGACAGGCACATTCCAGAGCGCTGATGAAGTCTGAGCTACTCAGAACCAGGACCGCTTAGCTGAGCGGTTTCGGTTTGAGATTGCCGTTTCTCCTCTTATATCTGACGCTCTTTTGATTTTACAGACGTGGCCGTTTGTGGTCTCGGGACGACCCGACTCCGACACCAAAGAAGTTTCAGCTGCCGGCAGACTCTGTGGGACCACCGCTTAGGTCGAATTTGAACGCCAAGGACTACTGGTTAAGCGCCTGCGTTTGGGGCCACGGAAAGGAGACTACGTGAGAACCCTCAAAGAATGGGGGAAAGTCCCATTGGATTCTCCTAGACACCCCCCACGCCGAATTTTGAACATGAAAAGTGGCAGGCATGGGGGGCAGAGCCCTAGGGCGGCGTTGCTGTCCTCGCGGGGCGCCTAAGGCGTGGATGCAGCGGGAAGAGCTTGCCAGGCTCAGATCTGACCTCAGGCTCCAGCAGTGTAGCCCCTCACGCTGCCTTCAAGCCCAGCGCCGAGCCCATGGGGTCAGGGTTCCAGCCGCGCCATATATATTTATATATGCATTACACGTGATGGCACTCTCCGCACAGCCCAGCCTTTCCCTTAGGCTGGTTAGGACGCTCTCTCCCTGACAACCGGCTTCAAAGACAGGCATCTTCACTAAGACCCACATCGGGCAGGTTTTCAAGTTGCAGAGAGGAGAGTGAATTCCTGGGTGGGCTTAGTATCCCGGAGGGCGGCGCCCTCCAAGCGGACGGACAGACCGGTGGGTGCCCTCTCTCTGTCCCAGAAGCGGGAGCAGTCTGAGACCACCTGAGCCTTTTGCCCCCGTGCTCCTCGCAGCTAGGCCTCCGTGCTGCGGGCAGACCCCTCACTTCCCTGGGCTCCCTACCCTTCCTGACCAGGCTTAGGTCGATCCTGTCCCCTCCTAGGGGTGAGTCACCCCCTCCTGACCTCTCCAGGCTCCGTGTCCTTCAGTCTTTCCTCTACCCCCTCCTTGCAGAGTCCCCTTCCACTCCTCACTGTCCCTATCTGTCCCCCAACTCCCCCACCCTGCTCCCCCTGCAGCACCACCTCCCCGGCCCACTGTCTTCCTCCCTCCTGGCACTGAGCCTGTTCGGTACCTAATGACCATGCTCAGGGGGAACAAACCGCTGCTGGAGGCTGCACTACCAGTTAATTAGCAAATGTAAATAAGTTTATTTTTTTACGAATAATAAAACGCATTGTGAAAAGTGAGTGCCCTGGCATCCGCATGTGCTATTTACTGAGTCTGGTCTGGAAGTTAACTTCAAGGGGGCCTCCTGGCTCTGGACACGGGTCGGATCATTGTCCTGAGTGGTGGTGATCACCTGTGTTCACTGAGTTTCCAAGTGTAATTCTCATTAATGTCTGATTCTGGCTCTTCTTGAGGCGGGGTTACTAGAAGGCAGGAACGGGAGGCTTATGAGGCCCCAAGAGTCTCCTGGGGCCAAGATGTGTTGAAAGGTACACACTCTTCAAAATAATATAGTTGCCCGTCTCTTTTACACACACACACACACACACACACACACACACACACAAATCTTTCTCTAGCCTGAAACATACTCCCATGCTTAAAATTGCAAGAAGTTCAGAAACCCTTACAGCCCACACACTGGAGTGGAGAGGGTCTTAGTCTAATTGGCAAAGTAAAACTAATACAAAACATCAATTTGTATTTCAATAGAATTTTCTTGTTTTCAAGTAATGCTTACATAGTGCTTTTAAGGCACACCATCTCAATTTCCTTGTTACTTTCTCCCATTTTTCACTGCAATCTGCAGGAGGTGATAACGTAGGAAACCCACCATACACTTTTTTTTTAAAATGCTGAGCTTTTTAAAACAACATTCTCTTTGTAGAAAATTTAGAAAAGTGTGAAGGATAAACCTGCCTAAATAATTGCCCAGTTTGGGGGTAGCCTTTGTTTAATAACATGGGGAGTCTGTTTTCTTGACCAAAGGGAGCCCCACAGAGGGAGTGGAAGAGGTGAGAGCGAGGTGGGGAGCATGACTTCCTGTGGTGAACTGAACTAACCCCAAACTCTGGAAAAGGGCTCTCTGACACCAAGTTCCTGGGCTTTTGTTTATACCCGGAGGATTGCAGCCCTCCTCTCCCCTGCTCTCATCCTTAAAGCTGGGCTCAGGGTTTACATTAGCCTGTTTCTGTGGCATCAGGGTCTCTCTGGAAAAAAACAAAAACAAAGCAAAAAAACAAAAACTCAGGAGTAGCTAATGACAGGAAACCCTAGCTTGGTCAAAGGCACGTTAGCTGGCCTTGAGTTCTGGGTGGCCTGCTTCTTGGCGGTGGGGTATCTGCTGGAGGCAAGCTCTGAGTCAAGATCTTTTCCAAAGCTTCCAGCAAATGAGGTCCTTTGTGAGGAGGAGGCAGCATAGCAGTAGGTGAAGATGAGCCTAAATGTCTGCGGAACCCAGCTTTAAGTCCAAGCTCTGCTCCCCCACAGACCAGTCATGATATGCAACTCTCAAAGCCTCATCATCCCCCATCTCCCCAGCCCTCCCCCCCTTCCCCCGCCTTCCTGGGAAGACTGCTATTAGGAAAAAAAATGTGCCAACAATAGTTAAGCCACCCTCTAACAGGCAGTAAGCAGCACCCTAAATGCTGAAAGAAAAGGGTGGGGGCCGCTGTCAGCACAGGGGAACTTTCTAAAAGGTAGGACATTGCAGGAATCCAGTCCAAGCCTGAGCCTGGTTTGATCCTGGGTTACAGCTGCACAAGAGAAGCGCCCCACAAAAGCAGAAACAAAGAAAAGACAGGCTACATTTGCAGTGAATACAGATAAGAATAAACAAGGAAATATTAAATCTTCATAAATAAAATATTTAAAATATTTGTTTCTATAATTATATTCTCTCAACATACTTTAGAGGTAAACTCTGGTTTTCTAAGCCTACTTCATCCCTCCCCCCACCCCCTACCCCCCCACCAAACACACACACACACACACACACACACACACACACGCATTAAGGTGGTACTATTCACTGACTTACAGGTACCTTGCTGCAAGCTCACTGCTATTGCCACTTTATCATCCTATAATTTAGTGAGAAGAAAAAACCTTCTCAAGAATTGTTTATTTCATGAATTTTGTAAAAAGTTGGATGCCAATATGTTGTTATGTTATTTAAAAAAGAAGAAAGAGGCCAATTTCTAATATGTCCATTAAATAGTGCAAATTGCTCAAGCAAGCTTCTGGGTAGCAGTTTCTGTTAGGAGAGACCTTAAGCACCTTGCACTAGTCTTTTTTCTTATTTCTTCTTTTTAAATTATAGTTTAAGCTCAATATTATTTTGTATTAGTTTCAGGTGTACAGGCTACTGGTTAGACAAGCACGTAATTTACAAAGTGTTCCCTGCTATTTTCAGTACTCACCTGGTACCACATACACAGTTGTCATAATATCATCTATAATAATAAAAGGGTAATAGGCTAATTAGACCAGACATCTTCCAGACATCCTTCCTGACAAAGCCGGGGCTGGAGGGAAGCCAGCCCTGATCCCGAGTGCCTGTGGGTAGGCAGAGGAGGGAAACCTGGGGCCTGGGTGCCAGAGGGAAGCCCATGCTGGCAGCCGGGGGAAGGACCACTCTTGCATGAATTTTTGTGCACTGGGCCTCTAGTTGACTCTATTTCCCATGCTGTACTTCACATCCTTAGACTATTTTGTAACTATCAATCTATACTTCTTATTCCTTCACATTTTTCATCCAATCCTCTTGAGCCACTCTTTTCTTGATCTACCAAGACTATCTAGGGCTCTGAGTGGTAAAAGGGCACCCCAAAAGCCTTCCTTATTTTTCCCCCTTCATAATTTTTCTTTAGGAATTTGGGCTGGAGAAATAGGAATTGGGACTGGGGAACAAAAGGGGTCAGAGAAAAAGTGACATAAGCCTGAACTTAGGTTTATCTCAATTTGATTACAATTTTGCGAGAGAAAAGTGGATGGAGGAGGGAGTCTAAGAAATATAATGTAAAAAGTACTGAACAACAAATAAAATGAGTAAATTGAAAAATACTCCTCAGGGGGCTTTTTATTAGTGATACTGACTCAACGAAAAAGAACAAAAATCCCCTTTCACAGGCTCTTCCTAAGATGAATGTTTGAAAAGAAATGCTTCCGGCACTGTAATTTTGAAACATTTAGGCGTTTCTCTTGGGGGTGGAGGTTGAATTGGTTTCGTGCATATTTTGCTCTGAGCTTCAAGTTACAACTTCACTTTAGTGTGCTGGATCCTTCAGGGGACAGTGAGACAATGACCATTACAAGTTACAAAGCAGATTTTTTTAACAGCCACAGTTCCCATCTCCTCCATCCCCATAATAAATACATTTGGGGGCGTTGGGGAGAAGACATCGCCTCTCTATAAAAAATAACTAAGTGGAACACATCAAACTTTAATAGACAAAGGTAAATAGTTTGGCTAGTACTCCTGAAAATTTTAAAACAATAACCGAGAAAGTCGTTTTAGCAATGTGTGGAAGGGCAACAAACAGGGAAATTCAGAAGGAACTTCCCACTGCTAATTTTAGGAAAATTCGCTAGGAGGCATGGGGTGGCTCCCTTTGGAACTGAGCACCTGGCTACTCTCCTTTCTGGCACTTCTGTTTACCCACCAAAGGGTGGCCAGTGTGCTTTTGTTTTACTCACCACTCACCCTTCATCTCTTTTTCTATTCTGTTCTGCTCTTTGTATTATTTGTTTTCTTTTTCCCACAACAGTGAAAAATTGGTCCATAGAATTCCTTGGAATCCATGACCTTAAGAAGGTCTAGAAAGTGAGCAGAACTTGCAATCTCCATGTATTGTGTAAGCACAGTTAGCACTAAGGTATTAGTCATCTTTTAAAAAATATATATATTTTATTGATTTTTTACAGAGAGGAAGGGAGCGGGATAGAGAGTTAGAAGTATCAATGAGAAAGGAACATCCATCAGCTGCCTCTTGCACACTCCCCACTGGGTATGGGCTCGCAACTAAGGTACATGCCCTTGACTAGAATCAAACCTGGGACCTTTCAGTCCATAGGCCGACGCTCTATCCACTGAGCCAAACCAGTCAGGGCGTGTTAGTCATTTTGAATGACCTCAACTCTTGTCTGTCCTACCAGCACATTATGGTAAAGAGGGTCATGGAGCGATTACGAGCAGGGGCTCTGGGTTTGGTACAAGTCCAGGATCTGTGCTGACTACTACTGTGGGCAGTAGACGTGAGGACTGGTGAAGAGTAAGGCACTAGAGGCTTTTATCTTTTTATTTTCTTTCTTTGTTAAAGGAGTTTACATGTTAATTTTGGATTTTTTAAATATTCATATTATTTTTTAAAATACTGCAAGCTGCCACATCAGATGTAGATGGTTCTAGTCTATCTCCTATTTTGTAAATCTGAATCTTCAGGTAATAGCTCTCCCCTCTGAGACAAGAACATACATCCTTCCTCACAGACTGTTTTGAAAATAGATTAAATGAGATCATTCTATTAGGCACTTTGGAAATGCTCCATAGATGCTAATTTATAAAAATTGTAGTCTTGATTTTCTTTCCTTTCCTTTGACTGAAGTTCAGCAGTCCTTAATTCTTACCTGCCTACCTGCCCCATCATTCCCCTTTGCCACTTTTATTACCTTATTCTTTTATGCCACATCTAATTTCCCTATATTGATTTTTTTTTAACCAAAGAAAACTTTAATTTAGTTTTCTCTTAAAAAGTGAAGATCATAGCACTCAACATAAAAAATTATCCATGGGATAAAAAGCAAACTCATCTAGGAGTGCAAGACAGACCAAAAAGTTCATTGTTTTGATTTGATTCCACCAGGCAGCCACTCTTTCAGAAACTGTACTTGTGGACTCTTGGTGTAGTGTGGAAGAACATCCACAATTACTTGAAATGACCACGAAAATACTTCTTCCCTGTTCAACTTCGTATCTGGGTGAGGCTGAATTTTCTTCATTCACTTTCACCAAAATAACAGGTCACAACAGATTGGTGTAGAAAGCCGAAATGAGAAGCCAGCTATTTTCTATTTACATTAATATAAGTCTATGCCACTCTTCCCATTAAAATGTTTTGGAAAACAGGTCTTTTTTTAAATTAAAAATGCGCTATTTACATTCAGTGGAGTTTATTAGTATGTTTAAATGAATTAACAAATGTTTACTCATAGGTTTGATTTTAAATCCAGTAAGTCTCACCAGATAAAG